CGGGAAGGAAGTGGCATTCGAGTTAGTGTCGAGTCAGTATCGCAGGCGGGGTGGGTGGACTGTTTACAGACGCGGTGCTGCCTGAGGGTTATTTATACACAGGGTTTAAAGTAGTAGGGTCTCTTCTTCTTTACCTAATCTCTGAGAGGAAGGCTCTCAGATTATCTTCCAGCATTAAATTACCAGAGAAATGGGACCATATTTTGACTAGGTCTCTCCTCTTACCTCATATATTTCTCTATATTTCATGGAGCTTCATAAAGTAAAGGCATCTTTCTTCCTCTGAGAAAAATGTGCAGTGAGGGATAGCATGGTATTACAAGTTTATCTTAATGCCATTTGGAGATAAGAGCATCTTAATTTAGGAATATGCACATGTACTTTTTAAAATTTATTTTTGTTGGTTACATTTGAAATATTTTAAAATTTAAAATAATTTTCAGCATATAGAAAAGTTGAATTTCAGTGCAAAGAACTTTTTTTTGAGCTACTTGAGGATAAGTTGCTGACATGATGCCCTGTCACCCATAAATACTTTATTATGTATTTCCTAGAAAGCCGCTTTCCTGCTTAACTACACGAGAACCTTGAAAAATTAACACTGTCCTCCTGGTAATCCTCAGACTCCGTGCAGCTGCCCCCGTTGTCCCAACGGTGACTCATTTATAGCAAAAAGGTCCAGTTCAGATTTGCGCGTTCTATTTGTTGTCATGTCCCTTTTGTCTCCTTAAACCTGAGAAGTTCCTTGGCCGTGGACGTGTTTGAATTAGAACTTGTGAAGGTGAAGGCCGACTGTTTGTAGAATGACCCTCACGTGCTCAGATTCAGGTTATGAGTCTCGGCGGGAATGTCAGAGTGGTGCTGGTCCTTTCATCGTGCCCGGGCAGGTGGCGCACAGTGTGACCTGTCCGTTCCTGTTGGCGTGCACTGTGAGCACTTGGGTAAGGTGGGGTCTGTGAGGCCTCAGGCAGACTCTTTCTCCTTTACAATTAGTAGGTGTTTTGAAGTGAGGTACTTTGAGACCATGTAAATATCCTGTTCTCATTGGACTTTCCACTTATGGTCCTAGTGGGTTAGAATCTGTTACTCTTACTCTTATCATTTATTTTGATGTTCAGCTTGTAGCGTGTGGCCTATAAAACTCTAGAGTGATATTTGCCTGGGAGGCATGTTCTCTATAATCAGAGATATAACAAGCCTCCTGATGTGTTAGGGGCAGGCAGTCCTTTGTAAAATATCATTAAAATGTACCTTGTGGTGCTTTATATTTGTGCGGCTCATCACTGAACCTTAGGAGTAACCGTTGTGCAAACCTATGGAACGGTAATAATAATAGGAACTCTAGGAATGCAAGTGAAACATGCATCCCCGTAACTGACGGCCTGGCGAGGTATTCCCCACTTCCTAATTTCACATGAGCAGGTCCGTACAGACGAACGCCTGCGCTAGTGATGAACACACTAGGGAATTGTGGAAGCATCAGCTAACTGAGTGATTAATGAAGCACTTAGTCTTAGTCTGTCTACCAGCTAGCAGAGCACAACTCACTGGAACGCAGAGGTGGGACAGCTGGGCCTGGAGACTTGAGGGTGGGATGGTCTGACGAGAGGGGAGAGGGGATCGGCAGGGAAGGAGATGGTCCGGGGAATCCTGGGAAGAGCTCGAGGCGAAGGAAACGGCCCCTAATGCACAGTCCCGAGGAGTGGTGGGCAGAGCAGCGGGCCCAGAGACAGTCCTGTGGCATCCAGGTGGACAGGAAGTGGGAAGTCACAGGCTGTGCTTCCGTGTGGGACACAGCCAGAGGCACCGCACTTCTGTGCCACAGGTGAGTGAGGCCGGAGAAGGGGTCAGCGAGCCCGTCAGCAGGAGGTGATCGGCGCTGGGAGTGGGGAGGGAGGGCGGCGGGAAGGAAAGGACTTAGAGGGAGAGGGCAGAGGGAGCAAGGACATGCCTTTCTGCATTTGTAGACTTGAGAAGGTAGTGTTTGTAATTATCAGTTGAGATGCTAGCTATGGTTTATATTTCTTTGGTTGTTTCCCAAATATTTAGTTAAGTGTGTTTGCTAATAACTAGGAACATTTTTCCTTCAAAGCGCCAGAGCTGTTTTTTTCCTTAGTAGAAGAAACAAAACAGCCTTTGGTGGGGAAATAATTCTGTGGTTTATATTCATTAGCAAGATAACATTGATTTTATTGCGGAAGAAATAAATCGAGACAAAGGCAGACTGAAGATTTCCTGTTGGAGTGCTAAACCGAGTGGTCATTAGCCTTTATTATGTAAACGCTGGTCAGTCTCCTGCGAGGCAGCCCCAGCTAGTCTCTGTCAGGGGTAAAAGCATGAGTGGGCCAGGCCTCTGCCTTCAGGAGCAGGCTGCTAGGGAAGACAGTGATGCGGCTCCTTGAAATGTTTGGGTGAGATGGGGGGAGCTCTGAGGGAGCTGTGCTGGCGAGAAGTGAAGGTTTCCAGAAAGGAGCCTTCTGCCTGGCCTTTGATCAGGTGAATAGAATTTTGCCAGGAGGCAAAGGCTGGGGAGAACCTTGAAGGCAGGAGGCTAGGTTGCTGTGCGAAGGGTCAGAAATGTGAAAGAGCAGGTTTGGGCACTAGTGAGAGTTGTCTGTGGTTAGAGCCTGGGGTGCGATGCAGTGAGCGGAAGAGGGGGGTGGGAAACGAAACAGAAAGAGCGTGCGGAGGCCAGGTTTGAAAGATGCCTTGTTGAGGACTTGGTCTTACCCCGTAAGGGCTGTCATGGCCGAGTGGTGCTGGTAGTGAGAACAGTCAGACAGATCAGTGAGGGAGAAAGGAAATTCGAAAACAACCCCCAAACATGAATATTAGTAAAGGTCAGTGCTCAGGTCAGTGGGGGATGGGTTTGGGTAACTCTGGGAAGAACAGTTAAGTTACTAGTTTAAGAAAGTATTTGATGCAGTAAATTTGTTAAGAGTTTCAGATTTAGATTTAGAAAATTTTGGTTGAATCTCTGACTTTATAGCTAAATAGCATCTGGTGTTTCACATTTCTTAACCTAAGCCTTTTTTTTGTAGCTTCTGCAGAAAAGGAGGCAATCAGGGGCACATACTCCAAAGTGCTGGATGCTTACGGGCTCCTAGGTGTTTTACGGTTAAACCTTGGTAAGTTTATTATTCAACATAATTAATCTATTTTTCATTTCTGTTTTGTCATTCTAAGAATTTGAAAGAGACTACTTATAAATAATTTCCGGCTCCATATGTGAACTCTAAGTGTGGTAACATCTTTTCAGCCTTGATTAATCTAATCTGGGATAATGTTTGCTGACCGAAGAGGTGTGCTGCCTGCCCAGGGTCCTGTGATTGTGACTTCCAGACAGTGTCCCAGTTGAGTACTAAGCGGGGCCAGTGTTCAGAGGAGAGCGTCAGGGCATCGCCCTTCCCTCTGCCGCAGTGCACTGGGGGAAAGATGTCCTACTGGGAACCGCACTGATCTCCCTGGTTGACAGTGAAAAGGACGTCTGTTCTGTTTTCAGAAAGTCTCCGCTTGAGTCTGTCTCTGCCACTTAATGTCACCATGGGCTGCACACAACCTTTGCGATGACCAGTTTGGTTGTCTGTGACAGTGTGACTCAAGTGCAGCCCAGGGGCTGGCTCCATTCCCGGAGCTGTTGGTGATGTGTCTGTAAGAGATAGGAGCCTGCACTATCCTGCAAATCAACACTTGGCTTCCTTCGTATCATAAAGGCTTACCATGAAAAAAGCCACACCAAACGGTGGGCTCCGTGGTGTAGCTGGTTTCTTTGCTGGAACAAGCACCTTTTTCAGTGTGAACTGGTATCAGTCCATGGGCCACACTCTGAGGAGCACTGGTCTGCAATGGAAGTGCACCATTTACATGAAGTAGCACATGCTGTCCTAGATGCTTAACTAATGTCCTAGGTAGTCCTCAGAGTCCAGTGAGGTTTGTTTAATCCCATTTCTTAGGGAGGGCATCTCAGGTTGGTTATGTTACACACTGAGTAGTAGAGCCAGGAATCAGAGCAGCTTCTGCCACCTCCAAGCCCATGCTTAGGTGCCCCACTGCCTAATTCCACCCTCACGCTGATTTCATAGGGTTCGTGTCAAAATCTCCATGAAAGTTTTTGTGAACTAAATTGCTCTATAAATTGTTACCAGGGACTCTCTGCCCATATATTATCCTCAGCTCACATTTTATACCATTTTTTCAACTTGACTGTTTACCAAGAACTCTCACATTTATTGTCTTATCTGAACTTCCTAGCAATCAAAAAGGAAAGGTAGGGAAGATAACACATTTTAAATTTTGTAAATTTTGTGTACTCCTCAGATTAAGCAGAGGAACAGTTTCATGCATGTGAGATTATTCTGTTAATATTTAAATGCTTCATTTTTCTAAATGTGCTTAAGGATTTCTTTAGCTTTTGCCAAAATCTAGCTGTGAACACAAACATGTCCACGATATGTATAAAATAACCACGATGTCAGATTTTAAAAGATGGAGTCAGGAGAGGAAAGTTGGGATAAATTTTGAATAGCTCAGAAAACATTGGAACTTTCTGTCCACTGAAATCTGTACTCTTTGCAGGCGACACCATGCTGCATTATCTGGTCCTGGTCACTGGGTGTATGTCTGTGGGAAAAATCCAAGAATCTGAAGTCTTCCGAGTCACGTCCACTGAATTCATATCACTACGGGCTGACTCTTCGGATGAGGATCGCATCTCGGAAGTGCGCAAGGTTTTGAATTCAGGAAACTTCTACTTCGCGTGGTCTGCCTCGGGGGTCAGTTTAGACCTGAGCCTGAACGCGCACCGCAGCATGCAGGAGCACACGACCGACAACAGGTTTTTCTGGTGAGTCTCTGTCCCTGTCTTCCCTCTGTCGTCGTAGCCTGGTGAGTTGGGCCACAGTGTGTCTGACAGCTATTTCCAGAGACAGCAGGGTGGGCGTTGCTGGTGGAACACTCTTTCCCACCCCAGAATCCTCAGCAGGGCAGGGCCAGCATCCACTGTCACTTTATTGAAGTTGTCATGTGACGCCAAACCCGTGTTTGCTCTCCTCGATCTCGACTGACCTTGCGTTTCAGAAACATTTAAAATCTTCATTTTAAAATTAGGAATGAATTAGTTGTGATAGAATTGTGCCACTCGTATTCACTATTCTTAGTTTTGAGATCTTGTCTCTGGCAATACTGCCTTTCTAAGCCAGCATTCCCTTATTATTTTTAATTTTAGTTGTAAGTAGATGATCTTGATTCAGTAGGACTAGTGTGCAGGGGTAAGTTTGTACTATACGGTAAGACTTAGCCGGTGACTGATGGCTCCCTGCCTGTGCACAGTGCACTGTGCTGTAGGTGTGCCCAGACGGCGAGCAGAGCATGTGGCTGTAGTTAGAGTTGCTTCACTGGAGCCGACCGTTTTAGTAGTGTTCCTATTACCCACAGCTGGCATCAGTTCTGACTTTCTCCCTAACGCCTTGTACAAATTGTATTTCCAAAGCCCAGACTCTGCTCTGGGCCTTCCTCAGAAGTTCAGAGTCAAGCTGCTCCTCCTGCATAGTCTCTCTCCCTGCACTGTCACCATCTACTTCTCTGGTCCTTGAGTAGCACATTCAGGTTGGACCCATTTCCCCTGGGTGTCAGAGGGCTCAGAGTCAATAATAACCTCAGGATAGAAAACTAACTTTAGGGCAACAGCTTGGTCACCTTGTGGCCCATGTGGAAGTTTCTTGGCCCAGAGCAGTAGAACAGGGGAGGAAAGAGGGTAGAATGGGAAAGGAGCACTGGAGACAGAGACTTGGAGCCCAGCAAAGGAGGAATGAGGGGGGAGGGGGAGGGGGCAGGTGAGTGGACAGAGTCCTGGCTGCTCCTGCCAACCCTACACTGTTCTGATGGACGAGACATGGAAGTCCCAGGAAAAGGTAAAGAAAGGTGTTGCAGCTGGGCTCGGGGCAGCTGTCCTTACTCCCCCCCTGCTCATTTTAACTCCGGGTTCCTTAGATTGGGCGAGAAAATTTCTTCCATAATTTGAAGTCCAAGCAGGTGGAGACACATTGGTCAGCAACCAACTGCTTTTGCTAAGTGTACTCAGTAGGAATGATTACTTTTCATTCAGTAAAGGGTAACTTTAGAGCAGAGATTGAGGGTCATCCAGCAGTGTGTCCAGACTCATCCAGAGGTGGGCATGTTTAGAGAACACACGGAGGGCTCACCAGTGGGAAACAGGTTGAACTAAGGGAGGCTGAGCCCCACAGGGGAGTTTGCTTGTTTTACGCTGTTTGTAGTTTGGCTCAGGATTGGCATCCTCTAGCCTCACTTTGCTTAGGAAATGAGAGCTTTAAGAGTTCATATTCATTACACACACCCTTGCAGCTTAGTAGGAATCTTCCAGGGCGCAGCCAAGTCAGTTCATAGCAGAGTGTTAAATACCTGTCTCCAGAGCCCAGTAGTTTTCCTCCACTGAAGACTGGAAGCTGCTACCAGTTGAGTTGCTTACAGTTTAAATAGAATTAAAACAGCCACACATTCACCGCAGAGAAAACAAACCTGACAGCGGAGGGAGAGACTCTACCTGCACCAAAGCATAGGACCCCACACTCTATTGCAGTGGGACACGTAAGTTTCCCATCCTTCTGCTGGGACCTGGGCCTCTACGTGTGTCTGGATACACTGGTCACAGTCAGCTTGAGCTCTGCCTCAGATCAGTGTGGGTGACAGAAGTAAGGAATCTTGTCATATCTTTAAAATAAATGGCGGTCGTTGGATTTACTCTTACTCTCCTAGTGACGTCAGCACTCATTGACACCTGCATGCTTTCCCCAGTGGGTAAGGAGAGGGGGGATGGTGGGTTACCAGGGCTGCAGCGACAGGCGTCTGCTGTGCTCCTGCAGCCTGAGTCCCAGGAGGAGGGCGGGAACTGCTGCTCGAGAAGTACTGCTGGACGTTACTGATACGAGTGACCCTGAGCATCAAGAAAATGCTGTTTCTTCTTTTGACACTTTTAAGACAGCAATATGGTTGCAGAGCACTTAGAGAGAATTCTGCTTATTGCGCTAGGAGGGTTTTACAGCTCAGAGCCAAGCTTCAGTATTATAGGAAATTCATTTCATGAGGCGCCTTGTCATCTGAAAGTAGCAGATAGAAAGTTTTTTGCACAGTGTTATATTTTCCTTGGTTAGGTTGGTTAGGAGCTTCTGCAGTGTTCCTCGGAGAGACCCCCAAGGAGGGAGTCAGCAGGACGGGAAGGTGCCACCCGGGCGGGGCTCCAGCCCTGTGCCTGCTTTAGCCACAGAGACTGTTTTACCTGTTTGCTGACATTGCCTTGTGCATGTTGGTTTGAATAAAACTTTCTGCTGTGAAAAGGTTTGGAAACCAGGCCCCATCTTTTGCCTAGAATACGAAAAGTATTTGGAGTGATAGAAAGTAGGCATACGTTAAAACTTGGCTGCTTACATTTAAATGACTTAAAATAGAGCCTTACAAAAGCCAAGCCTTAAAAGTAGGGTTCTGTAAAGTGGGGTGGGGATATGTGTGTGAAACCCTTTTTGGAAAAGTTATGTTATGAATACATCATCTAAAAAGACAGCCGAGACGGGGCGCAGGTACTGCAGGCATAGTGGTATGCGCTTTCCTCTGGCCCGGGGCACCTGCCCGGGATCTCACTGTGCAGCCCAGTCTTCTGACGCCCAGCAGAGCAAACGTAAGCGGGCTGATGTGTTTCAGGCGCCCTTTACTTAACAGCATGAGCTTAGTGCTGCGGGAGGACCGTGTTAGAGCCGGGGGCACGCAGTGAGCTGATGGGCCCTTCCTTCCTCCGCCAGGAACCAGTCTTTGCATTTGCATCTCAAGCACTACGGGGTGAGCTGTGACGACTGGCTGCTGCGGCTCATGTGTGGGGGCGTGGAGATCAGGACCATCTACGCTGCGCACAAGCAGGCGAAGGCCTGCCTCATCTCCAGGCTGAGCTGCGAGCGCGCCGGGACCAGGTTCAATGTCCGGGGGACAAACGACGACGGCCACGTTGCGAATTTTGTAGAAACGGAGCAGGTACAGAGTGTTTGTATTGCTGCTTCCATGTGGACGTGAGGGGCACAGGAACAGTAGAGTAACAGGTGCTCGCTTGATTCAGACTCATTTCTGACACCGGTAATGTCATTCTGTGGTTGCACTCGGCTACTGGTTGGCATTCAGAAAGGCTGCCCGAGCCGGGCTTACGTGGGCTTGGCCCTTCAGATAAGAGCCAGGATTCGCACTGCTCAGCATAGCCTGCCAGTGCCTGTGCTTTGGTATTGAATTAAAAATCCTGCTGGCTAGAGCTGGACAACTTAGGAAAAGTGTTTTGCTGTGAAATTAAGTCAGTTCCAACTCTTACCGGTAGATATATGAACCATCTAAAATTATGATATTTTTGGCTGTGAAAGTATATAATTGTAAATTTAGTTCATGCAACTCAGATCTTCAAATTAATTTTTAGAAAATATAAAAAATGAGAGAAAAATGAACGTAGATATGTGTATAGAATATTGATATTTAAAAGGAATTCCTTTTTTAAAGTTCTTACGCTTATTTATTTTTTTATCTTCACCTGAGGATATTTTTTTCCATTACTTTTCAGAGAGAGTGAAACAGGGGGAGAGAGAAAGAGAGAGAGAGAGTGAAACATCGACGTGAGAGAGACACATTGATTGGTTGCCTCCCGCATGCGCCTGGCTAGGGCTGGGGATCGAGCCTGTATCCAAGGTATGTGCCCTTTTCGGGAACCCAGGGCCCTTCAGTCTGAGGGCCAACGCTCTAACCACTGAGCCAAACAGACCAAGGCTATGCTTCTATTTTTAATATTTTCCTGGTTATTACATAGATATAGAAGATATTTTGTTAGGACAGTTTCTACAGGAGAGAGGGGTAATAAGACATGACTAGTGTGCAAAGATGTTGGTAAATTTGCCTTCTAATGTGGAGGTAACGGCTGTGTCTGCGGAAATGATTTATACATGCTTTTCTCTGCAGGTTGTGTACTTAGATGACTCTGTTTCTTCCTTCATACAAATCCGGGGCTCTGTTCCATTGTTCTGGGAGCAACCAGGGTTGCAGGTAGGTGTTTAATGTTGTTTTTTCTCATGAAAATTTCTGTATTTTCTTTTTTCATTGGATGCTTCAATTATTCAATCTAATAATATTAGCCAGATTTATAAATGAGGACCTAAGTGCAGAGTTCCTGGAATTATGTTAGATGTTTCCCATAATGTTCTTTCAAATATCTAGAAATTTAGCTGCTCTGTTTAATATTAAAATTTTGATGTTTTCATAGTATGTTGATTTTAGAGTGTTTCTATATTTACTATCTTAGTGCCTTAGTATATAACAGCTTAGTCTCCATAGGCAGAAAAGTGTCATTTAGACAGAGCTCCTGAAACCAGACCTCTCCATTCAACTCTTACTCTCCCGCTGCTGCTGGTGACTTGGGCATGTGATTTAACTTCCCTGTGTCTCAGCCTTTTCTGTAAAGGGAATCGTAGTAGGAGCCGTAGCTACTACTTAGGATCCTTGTATTGTCAGGATGAAGTGAGTGCATAGACTAGTGCCTGGCGCACGGTCAGCGCTGTGTAAGGGTCGCTACTTTTTCGTCAGCAGTGTATCTGCTGCTAAAGTTCTTTGTCACCTATAGTGACCTGTCATCTTGAGTGTGTTCTCTGCTTGCTTTCTGATTTTTAAAAAACTTTTCTTTGTTGATATAAATGTCTAATCTTTAAAGTATGTTTATGTGAGATCATAATATCGGGTTGCCCATAATAGTGTGATTTGCGTTTTATTTTTATTCAAAAATCTTTAGTCCCTGAAGTGTCAGTTATACTCATTTAGGCATCTAGCATCTACGGTCTGTAACTTTTGTGCCTCAGTCTACAGCAGTGAGAAGACGGACAGGCACAGACCTTGCCTCCTCTTAGTTCACAGCGGGATCCCTGACATCCCAGGGCGGGTGTTGTGGAGGAAAAGTGCAGGCCGCTGGAACCTTTCAGTAACGCAGCTCGTTCAGGACAGGTGGAGGGGCGCAGGGGCGAGCGCTCGTGTTGCTGTGCTCAGGTTCCTGTGTCCTTGTCAAGGCTGGTCTGACGTGGGGGGCGGCTATCTTTGGTGTATTGGGGTGACTTCAGCAGCTCTGTCTCTCCCTAAGGCTCTTTCGGAAAGAACCCGTCCCTGCGCCACTTGTCCAGGCTCTCGTGATCTGAGCAAGGTGGATGCTTTGCTTTGGACAGGCCGGTGCAAGAGCCTCGTTACTACTCCTGGGCCCAAGGTTATCCTGCTGTTGCTTGATTAAGAAGCTCAGAGTTAGTGTCTGACTATTCAGGAAGGTCGATCCTGAGGAGTCGCACTGAGGGATCCTCCGTGGGGAGGGCTTCCTTCCTGCGTCCTCTGTGCCCTGTGGCCTCTGCCACACAGATAGTCTGGCCGCCCCATGTCATGTGATTATGGGTGAGAACTACAGATTTTATTTTTTTAAAAATATGTCTCTATTGATTTCAGAGAGAGGAAGGGAGAGGGAGGGGGAGAGAGAAACATCAATGGTGAGAGTCATTGATCAGCTGCCTCCTGCACGCCCCTCACTGGGGATCGAGCCTGCAACCCGGGCATATGCCCTGACTGGGAATCAAACCGCGATCTCCTGGATCCTAGGTTTATGCTCAACTGACCAGGCGAGAACTACAGATTTTTTTATTTTTTTAAAAAATATATTTTTATTGACTTCAGGGAGAGGAAAGGAGAGGGAGAGAGAGATAGAAACATCAATGATGAGAGAGTCATTGATCGGCTGCAGCCCACAACCCGGGCCTGTGCCCTGAGCGGGAATCGAACCCTGATCGCCTGGATCCTAGGTCGACGCTCAACCGCTGAGCCACGCCCGGCTGGGCGAGAACTACAGATTTTTAAATCATGCCTTTCTTGGTAGAGAAAGTACTTTTTGAGACATCAAGGCAGTCCAGCAGTTCTGCGTACTGGTCACTGAGCTGACCTGTCATCTTGGGCTGGGTGAGGACTGGGCCAGTAACCATTTAATTTTCTCATAGAAGACAAGGAGTGGGGATGTAGGAGTCTTCTTTGGAGGCAGTGATGTTGACCTACGAGGACCAGTTATTTCACTTGGCTGCATTTGTTTCCTTATTTCCCAAGAGGCAGTAATATCTGTTGACTTACACAGGGCACGTAGTATGAGCTTAAAACAAGGTAATTTATGGGAAAGCACGCTGAAAGGTTCCTTCACAATGAGGTGTTCTGTGAGTTTACAAGTGTTTCATGATGGTTTAACTTCTAGCTCTTGTTTATGAGGTTACGCTTTAAAAATAAAATGGAGGAGAAACTCCTAGAATTTGTTTTTTTAAGAGACTATCTTAAGTGACAATCTGTTATCTGATTGACTTCTCTTGTTCAGCAAATGTATTACTGCGTATTGTACACAGTGGTTTATCTTTTATCTCCTGCTGGCTTTTGGTGTGACAGAGCATGTCTTTCTTGTCCCAGGTGGGGTCTCATCGTGTCCGTATGTCAAGGGGATTTGAAGCCAATGCACCTGCTTTTGACAGGTAAGACTGATTCTTTTTACATGGTGCGCTCAGTGTTGATATTGTTAAGCAGTGAGACTAGTTGTATTATATTTACTGAATCACTTCACCCTTTTTGGCTCTAAGTAAAATATCTTCTGACTCCTAATTTAATTGGAAGACAGTGACTCCTAGTGTTGTGACTGCGAGCAGTGTTGGCACTAGGTGTGGGGCTTGATCTCAGCCTGGAACGCCCTCTGCGGGTGGCTGCCCAGCACAGCCTCGTGGGGCTGCTGAGTACTTGAAGCGGACTAGTCCACGCGGAGACGTGCTGGAGTGTAAAGTATGCAGCGATTTCAAACACGTGGTGCAAAGTGAAGAAAGCGAATTAGTACTACCTCATTAATAGTTGTTGTTTTTTTAATATATCTTTATTGATTTAGAGAGAGGAAGAGAGAGGGAGAGAGAGAGAGAAACATTAATGATGAGAGTCATTGATCGGCTGCCTCCTGCACGCCTCCAACTGGGGATCGAGCCCACAACCCGGGCATGTGCCCCGACCGGGAATCGAACCCCGACCTCCTGGATGCTAGGTCAACGCTCAACTGCTGAGCCACGCCCGACCAGGCTCATTAATGGTTCTTGTGTGCATTGGTTACATGTGTAAATGATGTTTTAGCTGCTCTGCGTTAAATGCTCACAGAGGGTGTGATGTCCTCAGGCAGCAGGGTGGCCCCATGTCCAGCCAAGCAGGTGGTGTGTGTGCCCTGTGCTGGCCCAGCACCAGCCTCCAGAGTGAGAGGGAGCGGGCTGGTCCGGCAGCTCCAGCACAGGTGGGGGCTCAGCGTTCATTGTCAGGGAGGAAGGACATCGATTAACTGAGTTGTCGTACGGTTTTTGAGGCCATGTGGATGAATTTGTATTCAATTTTCCCACTTCTGTGAATTTAAACAGGCCTAGGTTCTGATTAATGATGGATTCTTATGTATTGAAAAAAAATTTTAGATTATCACTTGACATGTGCTTTCTTTCTTTATTCAATAGGCATTTTAGAACACTTAAGAATTTATATGGTAAACAAATAATAATAAATTTGCTCGGATCCAAGGAAGGTGAACATATGCTAAGTAAGGCCTTTCAGGTAAGAGTGATGCTCAACAAGTAATGCAGTAGAGTCATCACACTCTCCCAGGAGGGAGCTGACTTCCTAGAAGACTGGGTGCCTTTTGGAACCATTCGCTCTTTGGGGCTGTTAGAAGACAGTTGAGGGTGATGTTGCTGAAACTGGGACTGTGGAAAGTTTTCAAGGCAGTTGACACTGTTTTCTGAAATGGGCTTATTGGTGTGGTGGAGAAACAGAATCACCCTCCTCCATGTTGATCTTCCGCTGGTAGAAAGATCCTTCGCCTGCTCTCACCTTGCCGACTCCTAGAAACCAGGCATGATGACTGACGGACACACAGGGACCTCTCGTGTTGATGAGAGAAAATAGGAGAATTTCAAGTAAAAAATAAGCCAGGAAACATCTGACTGCTAAAGAAAAAATAGTCTTCATAAACACTTACTGAATCAGTAACTAATACAAATTACAATGTCACATAGAAGTATAAGCTTAAAAAATGGTTAGAAAACATTTTATTAAATTCAATCTAATGAACTCCAGAATTATTCAGCTATTTTGTCTTAACCTTGTAAAAGAAATATTGTTAACCAACAGATTATATGTTAGAGAATGACTTTTTATGGTAAACTTTTAAAACGTTTGTATATAATGGACAAAGATGTAAGAACTGAATTTTATGTTTTATAGGCTTTGTCTTAAAAAACAAGTCACTTTATTTTGAGATTCTGTTCTAGATATAGACAGTTATTAAGTTTGGATTATAAAAAATGAAATGCAAGTGGTTGGAAATGGTTTTTCATTTTCTGCACCAGGAGGGAATATTAAGTTCTCTGAAGCACGTCACCACACCTCCCGGGTAGTCTAGGAGGTCTCGGGAACAGTGTGCCATCAGCTTCCTCGGGTAGCTTTTCATTTGACTGCTGTGCTTCAAATAAAGCTCTGGGAGGTTAGGCTTTAATTTAAGTGTAGGTTCCATTTATAACGTGTACTGATGGGATTCTGCTTATACCATTGTGATGAATACTTCCCTTTCACTTTCAGAGCCATTTGAAGGCTTCTGAACATGCTGCCGATGTGCAGATGGTGAACTTCGACTACCATCAGATGGTTAAAGGAGGGAAGGCGGAAAAACTGCACAGTGTCCTTAAGCCTCAGGTCCAGAAGTTCCTAGATTACGGGTTTTTTTATTTCGATGGAAATGAAGTTCAAAGGTTCGACTGCTCTGTTTCTCTTTCCTTTAAATTGGGACTTTGCTGTAGTTTAAAAATTACTCTTAAATTTCCTTTTTTAAAATCAGTCTATAATTAGATAAAATATCTTCCTTTGTTATACTTGATTTCAGGCCTGTTTTTCTTTCGTTAGAATTCAACAGGTAATAATAATAGCTTACTTTACATTGGTACATACTGTGGGCCAGACAGTGTGCTTAGGTTCTCCATGTGTCAGTGACAACAGTTGTAGGCTGGGTTCTGCTCTTACCCCATTCACAGCGAGGAAACTGAGGCACAGGCTCTAGCCCGCCCCGTGTCACGTGACCGGGAAGCGTTCGAGCTTGACTTCAGGCTCCAGGCCTCAGGCTGTGGTCTATGAGGCTGCTCCGCTTCTCCCTTGGAACTAAGGTTTTAATATTCCTTGACTTCCATAAGGATAACTAAATGGAAATAGAAGTAAAAGATGCTGCTTATTGTCTGCTTTAGTATAATTTGAATCTTTAGTTTTTGCATATAAAAGAGGAGGAAAGTAAGTATTAAAATATTGAAATTAAGAATATAGGTTGAGGTAAACATTTGTAAACAAAGCTCAGATTTTTTCAGTATACAATATTTAGTATCAGCGCTATAGAAACTTTATAGGACAGTGAGTAGAGATAATAGATCTTAGGTTTTTAAAATTCATTCCTTAAATATTTGACATCTTTTATGTGCAAAGAGCTCTGGTGGTGTGAGCCAGAAGGAACGCTTAGCCCCTCGCTGGCCTGATGTTATGAGCGGTGAGGGCGCCGCGGGGCGGGAGGAGGGCGCGGCAGGGTGCGCACTGTTGCAGGATAAACTTCTCTCACCGTTCCTGTATGTTTGAAAATTATAATCATAAAAAGTTGGGGGAGAAAGTGGGTGCTACCTTTCAGTCACCTTAACTTCCTGAGTTTTAGTTGGTTTTGCTTCAGATGAGCTGTTTGACCTGAGTGAATCGTTGCAGGTGCCAGAGCGGCACGGTCCGCACCAACTGCCTGGACTGCCTGGACCGGACCAACAGCGTGCAGGCCTTCCTCGGCCTGGAGGTAACGCGCGGCCTCGCCCCCGCCGCTCCGGGCCGCGCCGCCTCTCTGCCGCCGTCCCCCTCGTAGCCAGAGCCCGTGTCACCTGACTGTCTCCTTTCCTGTTCTGAATCCTCTCTGTGGAGCTGTGTTTCCCTCTGTCCTTCCTTAACTTTCCCTAAAACCCTGCTGTTAATACTAGTCCAGTAACTGCCTCTTTGTCTGGCTTTTGGAAGAAGAAAATTCCTGTGTATTTGGCCTTGTTCTCTGCGTTGCATTTGAACAGTTTCTTGGGAATTGGGGGGTGTTTTCACATGTGCCTTCCCGTGGGGTTATATTTTGACAGAGTCTGTAACAGTGCAAATCAGCTACAAAAACAGGACCATTGTTAGTAAGAATGGAAGTGAATGAGATTGGGCTTCTCCAGCAGCCTTTGTGTTTTTTTGTTTTTTGGGGGGGTTTTTTTGAGGATTTTTTTTAAAATTTTTATTTTTGTTTAAAGTATTACAGATGTCCCTTTTTCTCCCCAATGACCCGTTTCCCCCCGTTCCTTCCCCCTCCCCAGACACTCTCCCCACCATTGTCCGTGTCCTTGGGTTGTGCATATATGCTCCAGCAGCCTTTGGATAGAAGCTTTTTTCTTTCCCACTTACCCGTCAGACTCAGCCTAATGCAGGCACAGTCTCAGCTGTTGGCAGACGGTTGCAGTGCTGAGCTGAGTCTCCTGTTCTGCAGCAGTTAGGGCCATAGGCTGTCGGGGGTTTTCGTTTAGTTCCAGAGGAACTTAACACAGTGTTCAACTGCTGTGAAAAACAGGACTCGGAAATAACATGTTCTTATTTCCTCCAGTTAATGATCTGACACTTGGCCAGAATATTACTTAATTATTACTCTGCAGCTGAGGCTCTTTCTGTCTCAAAAATGAAACTACAGTCTGCAGAATTCTCCGCTACAGAAATGTTGTTGTTTTTTTCAAGTAACTACATTTTACTGTTTTGCCTTTTTTGAAATCTGTCATTGAGATTTATCATTGTAATTTACTTAGAAAATATGACAGAGACAAGAAAAGTGAAACCAGGCATTTGGCCATTTGGATGGAGCTTATTACATGGCCCGGGTTTGTTTCTAGCTCTGTTTTAACTGGTTGGGTACATTTAGTGTACTTAGATTCTGAGAGTAGTCTTACCTAGATACTTGAAAGGCTTCATTTAAAGTGTAACAGGTTTTAGTTTTCAGACTGTGATTTCACTGGTTATCCGCTGTTGCTAGTTAGGTGTGAAATACTCCCCTGTATAGAAATTGGTTAAATGGTCACCAAATTTACTGGTAAAGCAGGCAAAACCGAACGAGTAGTGAAACCCAGTTTTGCCCAGTTTCTTGAAGACAGAGAGAGTGGTCTAAGTGAACGGTGCTCCTGGGGCTGGCTTTGCTTTACTCTCGTGCCAGCGAAGAACAGCTCTGGCGCCCAGTCCCCAGCCAGTCAAACCCAGTATAGGCTTTTTGAATACGATTTTAGTTTTTGAGCCCTCAAGAAGTATGGGTAATTTATAGGGATATTTTAATAAGAATAATTTTATTATTTAACCAGAAAGATGCTCTTATTACTACAAGGGAGTATTAAGTTGCTTGTAAGTTTCATTGATGTATTTACTTTAAACATAGAGATGGTGGGAAACAGTGCAGTTAGCCTAGTAAACTGTTGTTTTCAGGACCCAGTCCCACATAGTCATGTAACTGCAGATTTTTGGTTTTCTTCTGGTAGTTCTTAAAAAGTACATCACAATTAAGGTTTTAATATACTTACAGAAGTTCCTCTTTCACTGTTCTAGATTTTAGCTCAACAGCTGGAAGCTCTCGGCCTGGCTGAAAAGCCTCAGTTGGTGACTCGCTTTCAGGAAGTTTTCCGGTCCATGTGGTCGGTGAACGGTGACTCCATCAGCAAGATCTACGCGGGAACCGGAGCCCTGGAGGGGAAGGCCAAGGTGAGTGTGGACCTGTCACGTAGACAGGACCCCCGTCCTCCTCTTGGTGAAGCTTCTCAGCAGTCTGTTTTTCAGTTAACAGGGTTTCGAGGCCCCGCTGTAGAACTCTGCCTCCTCACGCTCTTGTCCTTCACTCTGCCTTCTGTCCTGGGGCTGGTCAAACGGAGGATGGTTCCCCAGGTTGGCGGGGGGCCTGGCACACTTAGTTACTTAGTGAGAGTCTGCTAGGCCTGTGTATGGATTGCTTACTTTTTTTAAATGATTTTTCCTTTGCGTATTTGTTTTACTTTTATATTTATTTTTACTGTAAATACGATTTTTTAACCACAGTCTGTCTTCATAATAAAGGGCCCTATCTTATTCGGTGTTGGGTCCCCAGCACTTAACACAGTGCCTGCTATTGAACAGACGTGACAGACGCTGGTTGGACAGATAAATCAGTGGATAGTTTTTGCAGCACCTGCAGTGAGCTGCACAGTGTTAGGGCCTGATTGTTAAGCTTTTATTCTTTACCTACCTTATCTCGAAAAGGAGACTATCAAAATGTGCAGAAGAGGTGTGAGGTATGGACTTAATTATAACTCTGTGCCTCATTGTTACCTTTAATGGCTGGTATTGTCTGCAGACGATTTTCCACCCTAGTATCTGCCCCATATTGAGGGGCTTTGGAAGCATGCTGGAGATATTTTTTGTTATTTTATATGCATTATTGACTTTTTAAGGCTCCTGGCCCCCATTGAATTGAAATCTTTACAGTTCCCCATATTCGTTCAGAATAGAAACAAGAACAGTTACCAGGTTTATAATTCTCATTCAGCCTCTTCAGTGTAACAGGTGAAACTCTGTAAAGACCAGTCATCATCTCTAAGTCTTCTGTTCATTTCCAAGTCCGCCGCCGCTTCTGTGTCTCACAAAATGCCACACCTGTGTCCGGAGGTGGTGGCCTCACCTGCAGAAGGTCCTTTCGTTCGACTCATAGAAATCATACATGTTGACATCTGCAGAATTTCTTCTTAAATGATCCCTATTTTTAAAAACCTGAAATTGTTAAACTTTCATTTATTCCTTTCAATTAAGAACATAATTCTTGCTATTAAAACCTGATTCTCTGCAACTGTTGCTTAAAATCCTCTTCATTGTTCTCTTGCCTTTTGTTTCTGCAGCGACTACGACAATATATGCGCAGAGGTTACATGTATTGTCAGTGGTCTTCTACTCTAACCTGGTAGATACGAAATTTGATATGTTGCTGTACTCTCTGCATTGAACTAAAATCTAACATCTGAACTGTTCTTTCTTTTCCTTTCTCTGGGTTCCTTTTGATTAATTGCCTGGTAATATGAATGGTGAGTGTCTTTTCAATTAATATCCTTTGTGTGGAGTCATGTGGAGGGAATAACATTTTAAGCCTCAATTACTGTTATTTTTTTAAGGAATAAAAATAATATATTGCAAACTAAAGTATTTTCCTAAAAGGCAAAAGTTTTTTTTTAAACAACTATCAAAATCTGTAAGATCAAAGTAAGTCTTTATTGTAACTAACATGCCTAAGTAAATATATGTTCATTCAGAGTTATATAAATTCTCACTGTAGGAATTAGCTTAAGTTTATTATTTTTAGGTACAATAAAATGACCTAAAATGTAACAGATGATAGTTTACATGTAATCTGTATTTAGGAACTGTAATTATAAATTTCTTTTTAGACTAGGCCTTCATTCTTATGTTCAGTTATAGTTTTAACTAGTTAAGTTACTTGGGAATAATTTTAATTTCTACTAGTGAAGTCCTGTGCAGCTTTTCTAAGAGCCTGAGTGCCCCATGTTCCCCTTTGTCTCCCCTGCTTCCCACCCACCCTGCCCCACGTCTGAAGTGCCCGTGAGAAGTGATTTCCTGTTTCGAGTGCACTGCAGTCTCCTCTCTCCACAGGGAACAGTGTTAGGCGTCCGTGTCATCAGTGAGTGCAGAGAGGCACTGAGCTTCCCATCTCTGTGCAGAGCTGTCCTCCAAGAGGAAAAGAAACAGAGGCACCTTGAGCCATTTTAATGCGATGATCCAGTGTTCAAAATAGATTGATTAGGTCCTTTGTTACAGTAAAATTATGCAAACCTTAAGTTTCAGAAAACCTACTGAGTGAAAATAGCATTATTAGAATGAAAGTCCATGCTCCTTTCTCCCCAACAGGCTGGGAAGTTAAAAGATGGTGCTCGTTCTGTTACTAGAACGATTCAGAATAACTTCTTTGACAGCTCCAAGCAAGAGGCCATTGACGTTTTGCTCCTGGGAAATACTCTAAATAGTGATTTAGCTGACAAAGCACGAGCACTATTAACCACTGGAAGTTTGCGTGGTATGCGTACTTTATATTTTACCTATTTCACTTTATTTATATTCCTTCTAAAGCCCAAGAGGTAAATGTAAGCTTATTTACATAAATAACTTTTAGGTTGAGTTGATTAAAGTAGGCTTGGAGGGATTTTATGTTGACGTAATTTTTAAAAATTACATTCTGGAAAGGAAGTTTATCTCTTTGAAAAGGTTTATATCATCAGCGGTGTTATTAGTCATAAAATGAGGCCCATACAGGTTTACTTTTATAGATTATGATGGAAGGGTAAAGGTTTAAGTATTGCTAATTTAGACTGTTCAGCTAATCCAGCATTCAGTATTCTAATTACATAGAAAACAAGTGCTTTACTGAAAAAAAACAACCCCCAAAAAATACCTATATTGGTTATTGTGCTAATCACCACCCCAGAAGTTTCCATTACCTCAGTCTTACCTTTTCATTGTGATTGCTTGAATAAATATTAAATCATATTAATTAATAATTAAAATACTGCTTATTATTGGACACTACTATTTCCTATTTTAACATTTGACATCAATATATGGCTTTCAGGATGGCTTTTGTTTTTTACTATCTTTTATTAAAATCAGAAGAATCTGAGCTCATACAGGTGGATATACATTAAGTAGTCTCATGGGAAAGCTCAGCATTCACTGTGAAACTTAATAAATTGACGTCCTATCCACATTTTTTCTATTTTAACTTTTCAACACCTGGAACATTTTTATTTCTTCTGTTATGTCCAGACCAAGCCTTCCGCTTTCTCTGTTCGAGTAGGAGACACTGCTCCTCATCAGGGAGTGTGCTCCTGCATAATTGTCTGGTCAGACGGGTCGCCGTGGACTCTCTCAGAACTCCACGGGCTGAGGGTAGTTAATGGGCCTGTAAGTAGGCTGGAGGACGGAGACCACTAGAGCTCTAAACAAAACCTGGCCCGGCCTGTGTGGCTCAGTTGGTTGAGGGTCGTCCTGTGCACCAGAAGGTTGCTCATTTGATTCCCAGTCAGGGCACAGGCCCTGGTCGTGGGCTCGAGCCCCAGTAGGGGGCGTGCAGGAGGCAGCTGATTCATGTTTTTCTCTCCCCCTTTCTCTCTCTAATATCAATAAAAAACAATTAAAAAAAAAATTAAATCTGATCTTACCTACGCTTTTAACTTCAGGCTTTCTTCCGGGCTTCTAGCAGTAGAGACTTAGCTGGTTTGCATCTGACACCTCTTTCCACCTGTACCTCCTTCGATACAAAGGCACTACTAAGAACCATCAAAAGTAAGCAACTGAAGGCAAGAAAGGAAAAGCGAGGGACCCAAAAATTTCCCAGACTTGACCATCAGCTGTTTACTTTCCTGTACATTTTCCTATATGTAAAATAGATGTGTCTTAAAAAAGTAGAGCCAGTTCTGCCAAAACGCTTATTCTAAGAATGGGAGAGAGTTCCAACATGGATGATACCCTAGGGAACCTGGTGAGCACAATGCCAGTTCTGCATTAGCTCCTGCTTGATTTTGCTGGCATAACACCAGGTGCACACAGGAAACTGCCGCAGCAGAAGCGAGGCGACTAGAATGTAGAACGCACGCAGACGCGTGTGCGCACACCTCGCGCGCATCCCCTGCTTGGCCCCCAGCTGGCGGAGAGCCACGCCCTCCCGCTGGTGCTGCCTCATGCGTGTCAGAGACCCTGCCCTGCCTGCCTCCGCCCAGTTACTCGGCTGCGTCCCTCCCGAGCCCACTGCTGCAGGCAGACTCTGGGGCTTCTTCAGATGAAGTGCCATGTTTAAGGAATATGCGTGCACCTTGTAACCACTTAACTCGTATGAAACTGGGCTATTGTCTCCATCAGGTTCCTGTCTTTTTGGCATGCCACTGCCGAAGCGACGGTTTTGCTCTAACCCCATTCTTCCCATAAGTCCTGTGGCTGGCACTTTGCACAATTTTGCGCAGCATGGTGATTTTTTGGGAATGCATGTGTTTTATTATAACTGAATTGATTGATGTTATCAGTTGGAGAGTCGCAGAGAGAATTCTAAAAGCTGTATGTCAGGGCAGTGTCTTCCTCGTGTTCCGTATCCTCCAGCCTTACGTTTTCAGGTTCACATTCTCCCTGCAAGTACGTGCACATGCACACTCTTTCTCTCCCTCTCACACACTCACACACGCTCACACACGCTCACACACGCTCACACACGCTCTCACACACGCTCTCACACACAGGAGCAGCCTGAGAAGCAGGCCCAGGCCCTGACATTAGAGTCACTGTTGGGTTTTTCTAAGATGCAAACGGTTTGCTTCAGCTGTTGTCAGTTACTTTTAATTTCTGTGTCCTGCAGCCATCAGAAAAAGTAAGGTCATCAAATGGACTTGAAAGAAATGAGGCCGCCTGAGAATGTTCTGTCATACACTCTAGGTTTTTCCTGTGGCTCGCCGTTTGACTAATGATCTTTGTTTTCTTCCTAATGCATCCATAGTTTCTGAGCAGACATTGCAGTCAGGTACAGTATAGAAAATCACTCTGTACATCAAAGCAACTGTTTCTTTATTTTTCTAAAGGTGATACTGTAAGTAAATGAAGCCATATAAATGGAAACTCTTATTTTCCCCTCAGATTCTAACAGCACAAATGGATACCTTGTTTTAACCTGAGAAAAACATTTTAGATTTGAGAAAACTGGGTAACTTCATTTAGAAGGAAATGTGCACCCTGTATTTAAGTCCTGTTAAATGCGGCTCACCTAGTTTCATTTCACTTTATACTTCTCTTAACAGTCAGTAGTGTACACCTGACCCTCAGTACGCTGGTGGGAAACCCAGCTGGGGCTGTTTGGGATTAATCTCAGAGCACGGTCCTTGGCGTGCGTGCCTGCCCAGCAGTGTTCTCACTCGAGCTGAGAGGCTTTGGTTCAGTCCTCGTGTTGTGGGTGGAGCGCTCTGACTGTAAGACCCGCCCTGACGTGGCCTGAAGTGTGTCACGGAGCATCGGCTTGCTGGCAGTTAGCGGGCTGAGCGCGGGAGGCCTGACGCGGTTTCTGCCCGCCTTCCCTCTGCCGCAGTCTCACCGCTGCCCTTCCGGACAGAGTGGGATCTTGTCTTGAAACGCCAAACACTTGCCAGAAAGGTAGTGGAAAAGACATCTTTTCCTCTCACTTCAGATTTGGTGCCACTTAGGACGTGTGTTGCGGAGTTGCTCCGAATGTTTTGAGAAACTGGTTATTTTTTAGAAGGATGCAGGAAAGGAAGGCTCCACGTGCATCTGAGGGACAGCGAAACCACTTTATGGAGGGATAGTGTGGTGCCGAGGGCGGACGTCTCTGAACAGAATCGTTTCTTCCTTCACATTAAGGTCCCAGCCAGTTGAGAAACTGGGTTTTTTTAAAACGTTTTATCCGTTTATAAACGGACCTTGTTAGTTCGTACACTGGCAGCACGTCTTGCTCACGCGATGCAGCGTTCGTCTTGCCGATGATCTCAGCCGTTAGGTCATTCTAGAGTGGTGGTTAGACTCAGGAGGACTGCAGGGCTGTGTTCATAGTGACAGTGGCAGGGCCTTCATTATAAAGGCCAGGGATTCTTCGTCTGCGTCCAGCAGCTTCCCATCAACCAGGCCGGCAGGCCGGAGCAAACAGCCTGCTTTCTTCACTCCGACACCTCTGCACAAGCAGATTGCACAGCGAGGGGGTCAGAAAGCTGGATGTGCCCCTGGGATCGAAGGTGGTGCTGACGTGTCCCCTCGTTCGCCTCCCTCCAACAAAACTGTGGTGTCTTGTCATAAAATAAATAATAGAATAAAATAATACCACGTGGTAACTGGCTAGCTGCCAGTTAAGTGCATCGCCTGTTTTTAGAGGAAGGCCTCTTACGGTTCCATGCACTTTAAGTGCCGAGAATTTAACCAAAAGGAAGTAAGCTTTAGAAGGAAGGAAATAGGCAGGAAAAGAGATGGAGGATTTCAGATGTATTGGACATTCATTCATTGAACGGTTTCCTTTTGAGGACTTACTGTGTACCAGATGCTCCTAGTCACTAAGTGCAGGAATCAAAGTAGACCAACATTTCCGCCCTCGTGGAGCTTTCGTTCTTGTGAAGGGAGATGGATAGTTACAGGATAAATAAATGAAATACATAATTTGTGAATGGTGATAAAAGCTATAGAGAAAAATAAAGCAGGGAGAGGATATGGGAGGTTAGGGACAGGACGCAAATTCTAATGAGGTGGTCAGGAAAAGCCTCCCTGCAAAATAAAGACCTGAAGGAAGCGGGGAAGGAGCGTGGCCCGCAGTGGAAGCCGCCAGTGCAAAGGCCCTGCGGTGGGAGCGGGCCTGACGTCCTTTTGAAACAGCCTGGACTCTTCCTCCCTGGCTGCTTGAAGATTGACCATCATCATGAACAACACAGTAACTGTCCGGACCAGGAAGTTCGTGGCCAACAGACAATTTCAGCGGAAACAGATGGTCCCCGATGTCCTTCACCCTGGGAAGGGAGCAGTACCCAAGACAGAAATTGAGGGAAAACTAGCCAGATGTCCAAGACCCCACCAGGTGCCATCTTTGTGTCTGGATTCAGAACCCATTTTGGTAGTGGCAAGACAACCGGCTTTGGCATGATTCATGATTCGTTGGATCATGCAAAGAAAATGAACCCAAACACAGACGTTCAAGACATGGCCTGTGTGAGAGGAGACCTCAAGAAAACAGAAAGGAACCCAGGAACAGAATGAGAAAGTCGGGGGCCTGCACAGGCCGGTGTGGGTGCTGCGGAAAGGAGGGGTACAGGGTCTTCAGTGACTTGATCCATGAGAGGATTAGTAAACTAAGGACCTCATTTTAAAAAGAGAGAGAGAGAGGAACAGCCGGGAGTCCAGTGGCTGAGCAGGGAGTGAACGGAGAACGGGGCAGCTGAGGCAGGAGGAGGGCAGGTCGCCCAGGGCGGCCTCGCTGGCCGGGAGGGCGCTTCCCTCCGGTGAGCTGGGAAGTGGGTGGTGTTTGCCAGGCCTTCGTTCCCCGGCATCCCATCATCCGTAATTGCATTTTCGTAGGGGAGCCATCAGGCCACCTGTCAGCAGCTGGAGTCTTAAATGTGCATGTTCTGAAATGGTTTTGTTTTGGGGAGAAATAAAATTGATACATTTTTTGGCCTATGAATGAAAGTTATAGGAAGGTCAGTTGCTGTATTTCTAAAAATGTACCGTCTCTAATTGTGTACCTTATAAAATAGCATTTTATTGAAACAGAGCTGTTCGTTCTGCATGTTTTGTGTTGCTACCGTAATTTCGTGATAGCTTTTCTTACTTTGGTTATTGTATTTATGTGGCTGATTTTTAAAATTTTGTTAATTGCTCCGTGCTGGACTTTGTGTGCAAGGCCGCTCTCTGTGCCTCCGCATGTGTCTTATGGTGGTTTGTGCTTTGATTGTTGTACTTTCCTGACGTCATTTCTCGGTGATGAAAATCCATTTTAACAATCATTTTAATGCAGTTAAAATTCTGTTGTGTTTTGTTTCTGATTAGCCTCTTCTAAAGTACTGAAGAGCATGTGTGAGAATTTCTACAAGTATTCAAAGCCCAAGAAAATCCGAGTATGTGTCGGAACCTGGAACGTGAATGGTGGGAAACAGTTTCGCAGCATAGCTTTTAAGAATCAGACTCTCACCGACTGGCTTCTTGACGCGCCCAAGTTAGCTGGCGTCCAGGAGTTCCAAGGTTGGCTTTGGTGGGGCGGGTGTAACGAGCAGGCCTGACTGGTGCGTAAGCTGGAAAGCGATGGCCCCTCACAGCAAGCACCGCTTTGTAAGAAGCTTTGAGGGCCAGCGTTTTTACAGATCAGATCATCAAAACTTCCGTCTTTTTATTTCTAGGTTTTTATTTCTACGTAGCACAGAAGGTCAGGCCTGTGGTTTTCGAACTTGAATGTGAAAAATCTCCCCAAACAGTTCCCTGGAATCTGTGCTGGTGTCCCAGCCACTTTCTTGCCAGTGCCCCTCCTGGGGACCTTTCCCTCCAGCGCTGGTCCACGCCGGCCTGTGACGGCTGTTCCCCACTGTCCGTGGGGTGAACTCCGGCAGGCGCTCTCAGAGTGCTTTCTGAAAGGACTTAGGGACCTTCTAGAATAACAGTCTTAAGGAAGCAAACGGGGCCCCTCAGTAGAAAGTAAATTTAAAGTAACGTCCCACTCGTGGGTTTTGCTTTCAGTCTGAATTTGGTTAAACTGAAACACAAACATGGATTGTTATAAGATCTGGGGTTGACCTTTGTGTTGGGGGGTGGGAGACTCAGGGGTGCTATCGGCTGAGGCCACATTGTGATCGTCTTTCTCGGATGTTGATTGTAGAGAAAAGAAGTAAACCGACGGACATATTTGCAATTGGCTTTGAAGAAATGGTGGAGCTGAACGCTGGGAACATTGTGAACGCCAGGTACGCCCGCGAGGCCGCCCACGGGAGCCCCCCGGTGACGGGCGGGGGGCAGATGACTAGCAGCTGCTACACAGAGAGATTGAGATAATGTATGTGAATGTCCTTTAGACTGTGAAATACCATTTTTCAAACTTGGGTGTCGGGATCTTTTCTACACTTAAAAATACTGAAAATCTTAGAGAACTTTTGTTTATGTGGGTTAAAGCTTTTGGTATCATGTTAGAAATTAAAAACGGAAAATTTAAAACATTTAATTCATTTAAAAGTAACAATAATAAACCCATTATGTGTTAACATAAAGAACATATTTTTTTTTTCCTGAAAAGTAACTATTTTCCTAAACAAAAATTTACGGAGAAGGATGGGATTGCTTCGTAGTTTTACAAATCTCCTTAACATCTTAAGTTAGCTGGCCTTTCATGTGAACTTGTGCATGAGGGTTGTAATATGTTGTTTTGGTTGAAGTATATGAAGAAAATTACATAAGTATGTAGTTGGAAATGGAAATATTTTAATAGCCTTTTCAGAGAACTACGTCTCTGAGATTGCACCAAAACTCAATCAGTAGAGTAGTTTCTTCAAGTTTAGTTGCAATATGGAATCTAAAGCCAGAGCCGTGAACTTCTTGTGCAGGTATTAGTTTTTATTCACCTGTCTTTTACTCGTGTGTGGTTTTGAAACATTGCATATTACTCATTTGGGAAATAGTAGTTTGCTGAGGTGTGTAGATCTTCCAGATGTTGACACGGTTCCTTACCCAATATGGACCATCCTGTTGGCTGCTGTCGTCACCGATCTCATCAGCAAACTCTTTGGAAGCTGTTACGATCACAGTAGCAGATACAGGTTTTCCAAAATTCTCATTTTTGCTTAAAAACTCATTTCATCATTGGGAATGCATACTATTGGTTGTTTCCCTTAAAAAGATAGGGTTGGTTGAAAAAGTGTTTGCTAAATAACCTAAGTCTGAATAACCAGTCTGTCTGCAATTAGTTCTTTCAAGTAAAAGTTGTTTTCCATGAAAAAAGTGACAGTTCATCTTTCACACTGTCAAGCGCTTTTCTGAGAATCGACCTGCACAGGTCAGTGTGCAGCGCTGGCGCTTCTTGTGTGTTTCCCACTTGTCACTCAGCGTTAGAGGGACTCGGGACCCGGCATTGGTCGGTCAGCATTTGCTGCCATGTCGAGGGCGGTCCTAGGCGAAACGGGATCTGTAAGCCGCGGGTGCAGGGCAGTGAGGACAGTGGTGAACCCTAAGCACCTGGTGCCTGGGTTCATGCCAGGGCTCCAGCGTTGTGACTCGTTGCACCGCGATGCAAATACCAGTCAGCACAGTGAAAACGGCAAAGGGTGTCTTCGTAGTGTTAGGAAAACGGTTTTGAGCTCATGGGTTTGGGGGAACCCAGGGATGTTTCCAGACCACACTTTGAGAACTGCTGTTCCGAAGCCTCATTACAAGGACTGTTTGAGTGAAACCCAAAGCGTAAGTGCTTTATTTTAACCAAGTATGCCGGCTTTTAAGGTTGAGCAGTTGCCCATCTTTGATGACATTTTAAAAGACTTTCAGAATAAAATTATGGGCTGAAACCGTATGGTATCAAAGCGTGGCCTTGTTTGGACCCTATTTTAAAGATACCAACTGTAAGAAGACATCTTTTTTATAATTAGGGAACTTCAGACATGGGCTGAGTATTTGATCCTGCTAAGGAATTATCATAGGAAGTGTGGTGACGGAAAATGGACATGTCCCCTTACATGGGAGACGTGCACTGTGGTATTTCAGGGTAAATGACATCGGGCTTAGATTTGGTTTAAAATATTCCAGGCTTACCTCTGCTACTCCCCCCCCCAAAAAGTGAGGGGATAGAGATAAAAAGATTGGCAAATGTGGATAATTGTAGAAGCTGGGTAGTAGGTGTGAATGGTGGTTTATTTTATGATTGTCTCTTCTGTGTATATCTAAATTTTTCTATAATGAGTTTTTTAAAGTATTAGTTATAAACCAGAAAAATAAGAAAGGGGGAGAATGGATCTGGAGCCTGCGCTTCTCTGTTACCCTACTGAATGCTCGCGGAGCAGTAAGGCGCACAGGCTTGGGGCTCACGCGGTGGGTGCTCGTTTACAATAAGCCGGCTTCCGTTTCTCTGTAAATGAGTAGTAGGTTAGATTCTGAAATGGGATGTTCTTCTGGCTAAATTTTGGTTTTTCCTTTTTATTTTTTAAATTTTTATTTATTTTAAAATATGTTTTTATTGATTTCAGAGAGAGGAAGGGAGAGGGAGAGAGAGAAACGTCAGTGATGCGAGTCATTCATGGCCGCCTCTGCACACCCCTACTGGGGATCGAGCCCGCAGCCGGGGCATGTGCCCTGGCCGGGCATCGCACTTGAATGTCCTGGATCCTAGGTCGATGCTCAACCACTGAGCCACGCCGGCCGGGCATGGGTTTTCCTTTTTAAGGGAGACAAGGTGCCGTCCTGCCTAAAGATGTCACTGCTGGGTTAGACCTCATGACTCCCGGGAGCCTGGTTAAACTTGAGCATGTAAATTATGAAGTGTAATGGACGGCTGTCCTATAAAACAGGCTCCTTTGTCTGTCCTTTTGCTCTGTGCCGGCAGCACCACCAATCAGAAGCTGTGGGCCGTGGAGCTCCAGAAGACCATCTCCCGGGACAACAAGTACGTGCTGCTGGCCTCGGAGCAGCTGGTGGGCGTCTGCCTGTTCGTCTTCATCAGGCCCCAGCACGCCCCTTTCATCCGGTCAGTGCTTCTCGTGCGCCGGGGCGTTTTCCGTTGCGGAGTTGCCCGTGGGAGTGTGACGGCCTTGCCCCCGTTGCTGCGCGTGGGTGCGGCTGCCCGGCCGTGGAACGCGCGCTCCTGACGCCTTCGGCCCGGCACCTGCGGAGTTCCGTCTCTGACCCCGGCTCTTTGTGTTGAAGGGATGTCGCAGTGGACACGGTGAAGACAGGAATGGGGGGCGCGGCCGGCAACAAGGGGGCGGTGGCCATCCGCATGCTGTTCCACACGACCAGCCTCTGCTTCGTCTGCAGCCACTTCGCCGCGGGGCAGTCCCAGGTCAAGGAGCGGAACGAGGACTTTGTGGAAATAGTGCGGAAGCTGAGCTTCCCCATGGTGAGCTCCTGCTGCGGGCTCCCCGCGAGGAAGCTTTGCAGCTGTGTCAGTGTGCCCCGAGTTCTGGACCAGTTTTTGGATTTAAGTAGTTCCTGGAAACAGCAGCAGCGTTCACCTAAGTAGATAGTTCCTGTGATTTTACTATTGGGTTGAACAAGTGGAGTGTGGCTGGGGATGGCAGGCCTATCTGAGGCAAAGGAATAGCTGTAAACATTTTAAAAATTGTTCTGAATTTACAATTCCATCTCCCTGCTTCCAGGGCAGGATGCTGTTTTCCCATGATTACGTGTTTTGGTGTGGTGATTTCAACTACCGGATTGACCTCCCTAATGAGGAGGTTAAAGAGCTGATCAGACAGCAGAACTGGGACTCTCTCATAGCCGGAGACCAGCTGATCAGCCAGAAAAATGCCGGGCAGGTACAGTCACACGCGGAGGCGCCCGCGGGGCTCGGAGGGGGTCATGCCTGCGCAACACACTGGGGTCTCTTTATACTTAATAAATGTATGTCTAGACTTTAACGGATACAGAATTACCTTTCCTTTAAAAAAGGGGAGGGGAAGGAAAGGAAAACCCATGTTAATTCCCAGGAAGAAAAACATGTCTCTGTAAGATTAACTTTTAAGTAGAAGAATATACTTTTCCCCCCCCAGTAATAGTGAATTTAGAATCTTTGTCCTCAGGGCTACTGTTTTTTACTTTAAGATCCTGTGGTAATGTGCTTTATGTGTCTCTTCTCTCATTTCTTACATCATCTACATTTTGAAACTTATTTCTTAAAACTTATAACCACAGCATTTTGGAAGAGTTATGTAAAAATTTTTTCAGAGTAGAGGCGAAGGTGGCCACTTGCTGTGGTGCCTCCGTGGTCGTAGATGTAAATTCGAACCCTCGGGCACCACTTGACCTCGTTGGGCCCACGCCCTCAGCTGAAAATCAGATCAGTGGAGTCCCTGCCCGTGTCTTACAGCCCGGGGGTGGGCGAAATCCCCTTATGCAGGGGGCGGACCAGGGGCGGGAAAGGCCGCGTTTCAGGTCCCTTCCCTCAGCTCTGTCCCCTCAGGTGGACACGCTTTCAGGTGCCCACAGGCTCTGTGAGCGTCAGCACCACACACTTAGTGCACGACCACCTCAGTGAAATCAGCTTTTGCTTTTAAGCAGCTTGCTCTGCACATAAATAACCTACTTTGTATATATGTTTATTGTAGATTTTTAGAGGATTTTTAGAAGGAAAAGTAACCTTTGCTCCGACATATAAATATGATTTGTTTTCTGAAGACTATGACACCAGCGAAAAGTGCCGCACCCCCGCGTGGACCGACCGCGTCCTCTGGAGGAGGAGGAAGTGGCCTTTCGACCGGTCAGGTGGGGACGCAGCCTCCCGGGTCGGGGTCGCGGGGGCGGCGCTCAGGGGCTGCTGGAGGCTGATTTCCGCCTCCTCGCTGTCTTGTTTTGTTTGCTCGTTTCTCTGATTAGTGTGTTGGGCTGACGCTGGTCAAGGTCACGCGGGTCCCAGGGCACGTTCTGTGAGCGCGGCCTGTGTGCTACATGGCGCCTCCACCGCCCAAACTCGGATCTTCTTCTGCCACCATATTTTTGACCCCCTTTTACCCTTTTTTTTTTTTT